ATACCGAATTTAGTGGCTTATGTATCTAGAAATACAGGAAGAGGCCGCGGAAGCATTAAGGTTAGTTGAGTATAATTGCAAGGGTGCTAGTCTGTGGGTATACAGATACAGATATCAAAAGGAACTATGGGTCCCAAGAAAGGCCAGGGTAAAAGTAAAGGGAAGCAGCCAGAGAAACGCAAGGCTACACTGTTCTAGAGGCAGACATGCAAGGGCCTTCAAAGGCAGTGGCTGCACAAACAGCCTGATCAGTCGGAGACGGGTTTCAGGAGGTGGACAATGCTTTCAACCAGCTGGGACCAAGCTGAGCCAGACCATGTCAGAGCAGAAAGGCCGGACAGTGCAGTGAGGGGATGGAGCCAGTACATGAGCCACAGGTGGTGTGTTTGAAGCAGGATACAGCCATGATTCCCCTATCAGGTGAGCTGGCAGTTGGCTTGGGCCAGGTGCAAACACATAATACATAGCAGTAGGGCTTTGGGAGCCCTTGGAGTTCAGTGGGTCAGCCACAGGCACTACCACTAAAGGGGTGGGCAGCCGGGATATGGAGTGCCCCTTAACCACCGGTCACATTCTCAACTCCAATTGGGCTTACCCCAAGAGTGGGGATCTGGCCATACCCATCAGAGCCGGACACAGGTTACAATTCAGTTCCACTTAAGGCACTGTCATTTGGTGATTATGGGCGATCACCTGACTCCTGCCACAAAAGAGAAAAATTGGTATAGAGACTATGTCAACTTTTTCGACTTGTTAAATAGAAAATGGATGTGAAGGATATAGATAGGGAGGATGAAAGGGAGAAGGAAAGGCATAGGAAGCTGGAACATTCTTGGGTGAATTGGTTGCCTGGTTACCTCATTTACTTTGGAGTAATTGTGAAAGCACAACTGTGGAGAGCCCTGTCATTTGTTCATTATCTGGATCTCATCTATAGGTTGTATGTGGACTACCAGGGCCACACATGGCTTCTTTATGACCAGGCATTTAGGGTGAGAGTGGCGATTCATCCAAACATACAATGGGACGAGCTGCAACCAGGACTTTGGTTGCAATTCATGACACCAGCGAGGCCAGCCAGAGGAGAGAAGTTTGATAGTGAACATCTAATATGTAAAGCAGGCTAGCCTAACAGGAGGTGTTTCACCCCTACCCGCTATGTTGGGAATTTAACTCCAGAGGGACCTGCTCTCGAAAGCCACACCAATATGCAGGCTCCAATTATTTTAGGAGAGAACAGAGAGCCGTCAGCAAAGAAGGAGGTGGGGGAAAGAAAACCGATGCGAGTGGGCAGCCCCCTGCAAAAGGGACTCAGCCCCATTAAGGTAGCAGTGTTGAAAAGGTGGTTGCAGGTTTATCCAAGGAAGGAGGATGCAAAATACTTACTAGAAGGATTTAAATTTGGTTTTAGAATCCCGGTAGTGAGAGAAAGGAAGGGCTCATGGGCTGAGAACCTGAAATCTGTAAAGAGTATGGAACATGTAGTGAGAGAAAAGATTGATAAGGAGGTTCGTGAGAGGAGGATTTTGGGCCCCTTTGAACAGCCACCAGTTTCTCGTCTTAGGATTTCACCCGTAGGTGTAGTTCCAAAAAAGGCGGAAGGAGAGTTCATATTAATACATCACCTGTCCTTATATGGGGATTGCAATCTGCTGGGGTCCTTTTTTTAAGGTGCATATTATGTCATCAAGAAGGGGTCCTTGTGAGACCTTTTCTTCCAGCATGATTCTGCACAACTGCAGGCACCATTTGCTTCTTTCAAGGGCCAGAGAGTGGGAAAGTGTTATGATTAATAAAGTGTGGCCCTGTTTTCAACCCATCATTGAGTCTCAGCTCATTATTCTGGGGTGGGAGGACAATGACTCATCTACCATGGATGAGGCCGTTATCGATTTACCTCTCCCAGCCCATTTTGACACATATCACTACATCCTGCAGCTGTGTAGAAAAGCATTTTTTTTTCTTTGCCTGCCCAGCCTAACACTGTTGTGTGGGTTAACTAGGGCCACAACTTTATTAACTTATTTAATTTTACCTTTAACTTTCCCTTTCACAAGGCGGCATATTGTAGTTCAAAAAAGTCTGCAACTGGAGTCTACCTTGCCCTTCCAGTCCAGATCTCACCCTAGGGATTTCCTATTGCGAAAGTGCACTGTCCTGCTGAACAGCACACTTTCTGTCCTCCGATAGCCAGAGTACCCCAAGGCGGTGCTTCTGGCCTAAATGCCCAGCTTCCACTGGGGTCTCCTGCTTGGTTCTCCTCATCCAAAGCTCTGCTAATGTCTTTCCGAAAGGAGGGGTGTCTTACACCTGCTGGGTAACTCCTTTTTGGAACTCACCTGCACCTGTTCCTTTTGCACTACCTGCCATAGCATAAGGGCTACAAAGTATGCCCCATGTGCTCCAACAAGCTGAAAATCTCAGACCAAAGGCCCTCTTGCAAATCCCCTCAGAAAATAAGAAAATATCTAGCCCCATATCTGATAAATGTACTCCATCCACCCTGTATAACCCAGGTTTGCTAAACTTGATGTTAGGATGTTATAACTGACCAGAGGCCCTCCTCAATGGCCTTGCCAGCCTCTCTGTTGACTCCTTTCCGGACCCTATTATTACACTTTGGGTCACGACTACCCTTCCACACGAGGCATGGAGTAATCACCGACAACACAATGCACATTGCTGGGTAGTATGCTACAAAAACGTTCAAGTCAGTGATGACCTGTATAATCAAAGACTTGCCTGATCTTCAGACCAAGTCATTTCCTCCAAGATGAATCAACAAGATAACAGGGGTCACATCAGAGTACCCTGGTATGGCAATTCAATGAACCCGTTCCAAAGCATGCCTCTCCGTCCCTTCCATTCAAGCAGAGCCATGCTCAAAGGCCTATATTCTGACCCCAGCTGGTATGACTGGCATACTTTTCTGCCCAGAACACATAACTGTGGCCATATAACATAACTTGAACTCTGGATAATGGCACCTCAGGAGCTGCAGCAAAGAACACAACACAGCAAGGCAGCACCTAAAACTGTGGGAGGGATTGAACATATGAATGATACTTGTGGGATGACCACTTCTCGACCCTCTTAATGTCCTCCACTCCACAACCTAGGGCAGCCACTGTAGACACAGTGCCTATACGAAAGGAATGGGTCCCAAATCATCATTGTTGCTGCTGAAGACATTATTGAAGGGCTTAGTCATTCCCCTTCTAAAACGGCAATATAGGAAAGCATAATGTCCCTCATCCTTTTGAGTTCAGCCAACTTGTGAGCCTTGGACTCCCTGCAAAACCTCCAAATGGCCAGCAAACCTCCAGTTCCTTTTGCTTGAGTTATCTCCCTTTCTAACATGTTTCTATAATCAGACCATTCCTCATCTGATGATGATATAGCCAGGGGAGATTGGGGGGGGGGGGGAGCCTTGCACTTCACCGGCTATTTCCCTTTCTATTCCCCTCAACCCTTTTTGGGTCCCATTCTACTAATATTACCTACCACTGTACATGTCGTAAACCAATCCACACTTATTCTCCCTCTAGGTAATAGCCAAAAACATCTACTAAACTGTTGGGTATTGTTGTTTTTTTAATATGAGGCACCAACCCCTTACTGTAGCCCTTAGGCCCTGCTCTATGCTGTCTCATTCTCTCCTTCTTCTTTCCTCCTTTCCTCTTTTCTCCCTCCTTTTTTTGTCAATATATTATTACCAGACAGTCCTATAACCCAGCACTGTGGCATCCAGAACTCCTTCCCCCAGTTCCCAGGGGTGGCTGCCCCACTCCTTTTGGCCTGGCCTGCTGTCTTTCTCTTCCCTTTATTGTTATTTTATCTTATTTGTTTTATTTTATGTATTATTTGTTTATTATTTGATTTTTCCCACCTCTAATTAATGCATGCTTGTTGGAGCCTGGCCAGGCTCTCTGTTCTCCTTCCCCCCGGGCCCTTTTACCTGCAGCTCTGGAGGCAGCACAAGCCATGAGGTAAAAAAATAAAACTGCTCCCAGTTCATCCAGCAGTACCCCTCCAAACACTAACAATCTGAGAGAGGCCAAGGCAGACCTGGGCTGCCTTCTTAAAGGCTCCCTTAGTCCAGCCTCCTCGCCCAATAAGATGCAGCTAACCTGTGTCGTATTGTCTGGCCAAGCAGGCAAAGAAGCCCCATCCAGGCAGCTGCGTACCTCGTTTAGAGACCCTTCTTCTGTTCCAAATCTCTCACTATTCATCTTTACTGGATGAAGAAGAATAACCTGATTCTATTCTTTCTCTCTCTGCCATGCATAGAGTTATAATTCGATTACTTCAAGAAAGAACGAACGAACGAATGAACGAACAAGCTCATCATTCAGGACTGTATTTGGCTCAGTTCACAAAAATCATGTTTGCAAAAGATAAGTAAAACCGAAGAGGCACCATTCAGAGTTGCCCCTGAACATCATTCAGGACTGTGTTTGGCTCAATTCACAAAAATCATATTTGCAAAAGATAAGTAAAACTGAAGAGGCACCATTCAGAGTTGCCCCTGAAGGTAGCAAACAGCTTCAGGAGGCTCCATTAAGAGGCAGGAAGAAACAACTTAGGAACTGCCCTCTTGGTGTCTGATAGAGATTTAAAGAATACTTGCTAAATTCTTTATTCTCAAATTGACTCAACATGACACCTCAGCAAGGAATTTTCAAGCTCCCTTCTGGGCAAGAAAAAGACAAGGGGTGCTATTTTTCATTGTCACAAACTCCATAAGTTTTGCAAAACTTCACTCAGTAATATGAATGTATTTTCTTTTTTGAAATCAAAGTGTGTATACACAGACACACTTTTGAAATCAAAGTGTGTGTACACAGACACACACAAATACATATGCAAACACACCGTAAGCACAGAACCACTATCTGGCTTTTTTAAAAAAAAGATTTAAACAACACACTGCTAACCCTTAGGAAAATAAAACAGTAGCCATCAAAATTTTGTGCAACTGGTTTCAAAGCATCACTTACATTAAACCTTGCTTGTTGAACATGTCTGCAGAAAGAGATTTCTCTCCTGTTGCTGAGTGTTGCTGTTCAGGAAACTGGGGAAAATTGTTTGGCTTGCATGAATAACCAATACAGAAGCAGGGCCTTTTCCTCTTTAGAACCTGGGCTAGAGCTGTGAAGACAACAACAATGCAGGGGTGGGGTTAAATGTTTCCCTGTAAGCATGGGCATAATGCCAACATTTATAATGCCTGAACAAGACTTTTGGTGATAACCATGTTGCTGCCAAACTACTCTACTGCCATAGGATATCATTTGGGTCTCAGCTGAATCATCAATGGGTAAGTCATCAAAATTTGGCATGTGTGAACCTTCAGAACACAGCCAAAGAGCCTGAAAAACCCACAACAATGAATTATTGGTTTCATTTTTCTAATCAAAGTGATTTCTGCTCAGCTTAAATTTAGTAAAATAGGTCATGATTGTGAAACCAAAATCTAGTACTTAAGGGCATGTAAGTGAGGTGAAAGCACCAAGAAATGTTTATGTTACCCTGCACAAAAGGTTGTGTTTTTTTGCCAATGACTTTCAACTTGCTGAATAATGGGAATTCAAAATTATTTTTCAAGCTGTGTACAAAAAAAGGGCAGGATCTCTATCTCAATGATAACCCTGCTTAATTTCATAGCTGAGTTAGAAATATGTTTGGCTATTCTGTTGTCCCATCATTACTCGTAGGAATAATCCCTTGCAGCTGTGGCAATTCGTGATAACGCACAATATATACCCATCAAGATATCTTATGACAGAAAAATTTACTCATGTCATGCTCATGTCTAACCAACTTATGGTCAGAAGATTTTTTTTTCTTTTTCCTTCATTGCCCCCTGTTACCTTTATGTACAAGCTGATATGCTTAGAAAAGGCAAGCTTTAGAAACAACCTTAGGTATCTTCTAAGGTGTCCAGCTTTGAAAATGCAAATAAGTAGTTAAATCAGGATCCTATTTGATAACCCTGCTTTCTAATTCTTTGCTGTGAATATTAACGGAATATGTGCCCACTGCACATTGAATGTAGTTTCCATGGCTAACTCACATTCATTCCTAAATCCAAGAGGTCTGCCAATTCATGTCCGGAGGTTCCCCTTGTTCAGCCATCACTATTCTACCTACACTCCCTTTTTCTTTTCAGGATTGCCAACCGCTCATTATTTTACTGTGATCCAGCAAGCGGCAAGCCCTGGACTTGGAAAACTCTATGAACGTCAGATCCAGCTCAATAACCATTTGTTATTACTTGTCAGAAATAGTCACATTAGCACATATAAGACTAAATGGTTTTTATTTTTCTTAAGCATTTGTGTGTCCAAAGCTACACATTCTAAATTGTACAGATTTATTTGTATACATCTGAAAAATAAAGAAGAGGGAAAAGAATGTGCCACCTGAAATTTCTGAAAAAAACATGTTTGTGGGCACACACATAAACACAGAGAGTTGGATAAATCTCTTTAAATAATCAGTTAATGTAAATTCTTTTCCATCCATACTTCTGTACTAACAAATGACAAGTTTGAAAGCCTGCTCTTCCTACCGTTCTTTGTTAAACTAGATATGGACCAGTCAGATCCACAAACAGTCCTTAATGATGGAGACATGGTCATCCATCATCCACGGTCAATTCAACTGAAATGTCAGGATTAAACAGAAAGCAAGTGATTCCACTTATAACTATCAGTAGAGACAACATAAATACTCAGTGTTTCATCATACAGGCCCATGGGATGGTGGGTTTCCAGTATCCTACTCCCAGTGCCACCGTGTATGCCTTAAGAACCTCAGAATCTCTTTAAAAAACTGGACCTGTGGGCTATAGCATAATGATTGACCTTTATGTCACAAAGCAGGCACTCCAGCAACAGAGTACAAAAGCTATATAGACTGATACAGAAGAGCTAGTGTTATGAAGTGAGAGCCTGTGTAGTATATTGGATAGTGTGATGGTCTAGGATTCAGAAGACCTACGCTGGAATTCCTTGCTTGACTATGGAAATGCACTTACCTTGAAAAACATATTAGGATCACTGTGAGTTGAATATGAATTGACAGCACATGTCAAACAAACAGTGTCATGAACCAATTTTGATGTTCACCTAGGACTATGAAGACTCAGGTCCAAATCCTAATCAGTCATGAAGGCAAGCCATAGCTCAGTAGCAGAAAACATGCTTTGCTTTCATGTTTGCATCCCAGATTCAGTCTCCAGTATCTCTATGTAGGACTAGGAAAGACTTCTGTCTGAGACCCTAGAAAGCCACTACCGTAGGTCAGTGTTGGCAATCCTGAGTTAAATAGGATTAAGGCACTCTTCTTATTTCCTGTGATGTGGGACCGGTTGCCATTAACCCAACCTATCTTTCAGAGTTGTTGTTAAAATAAAATGGGAAAGAAGAGAACCATTTAAGCTACTCTGAGGTCCCTGAAAGAAAGTGAAGAATTAATATCTCCCTACCACCACAAAAAACCCACTGGAATTGTGATGATAGTTAGACAAATAATAATAATGTGCCATCAAGTCAATTCTGACTTATTGCAACGCTTTTGAGGGTTTTCAAGGTACAGTAGAGAATACTCAGAAGATATTTCCCATTCCCTTCTTCTGGGCGTGCTCAGGGACTGTGAAGCTTACCCAAGGCTGCATAGGCTGGCTCTTTTCCCTGGAGTCACAGTGGGGAACCACCAAACCCCCAAATTCTGGCTCTGCAGCCAGATACCAAACTCTTTTAAAACTACTAACTCAGTGAGCTATCTGGCCAGCTAATTAGATAAAGGAACCTCTCAAGTAGCTTTAGAAAGATTCTACTTGCTCTCTTTCGAGAACATTGCAAACAATTTATATATGCACCTGAAAACAGACATTCTCATGCCTGCCATATGAGCTGAGGACATTTCTTTTCATTTAGTTATGCTTGGACATTTCAATCTGTTTTATCAGTGAAAGATTTTTCCCTCAAATCACCAATGTTCCGCACAACTCTTTGTGGTTCGAGCACACTGAGAGGTTTTGGCTTTCGTTCTGATTTCAGAGCATCTTGTCCCCATGAAAAGGCCAAGTCTGACTTTCCATCAAAACTGCAGTCATGAAATACTCTCAATTTAGTTCCTTTAAAAAATTGTAAAGTTAAAAGCAGATGAATCACAAGAGGGAAGAGTGAGTGAAAGCTAAACCTTGACAATCAGCATTATTGAAATGAAAGCTGCTTTAAAAATAGAGGCTATGGCCTTTGCTACTGCTGCTTTGATGATCCCCCTGTGGCAGGGCCGCTTTTAGCATTAAGGGTTTTAAAAAATATTATTATTAAAAAGACCAAGTCAGACTCTTGAAGTGCCACTGGTTCTGGACACGTATTGCTTGTTGAAGTCAACCTCCACAGAGTGGAAAAATTGTTAAATAAACACAGCGTGAGATACCTATAAAGATTGCAGTGAATCCTGATTTTCAGTCATTCAGCTGTCCCCACTTTCAGATATCACAAGAGTAGGGGTGGGAGAATGCAGATTGCTCACACTTGGTGACATTGTCACGTGAACTGACCACAAATCACAGAGCTACTTGCTTTTCTGTGATGGCATCCAGTGCCAGGAAATGCTGCTGTTATCTCTTTACACAACAGTGTACAAGGAAAAATATACAGGTAGCTAATTCAATTCTTTAAAAAAAAACAAAAAACACCTCCATTTATGAATGTGGGATATTGTGCTTCTGTGTCCACAATTCAAAATCTCCCCTTTTCTACCTTAAGGATATTGCTCTCCCATCAGCCTCTGACTCTGAAGATGACTCCCTATGGCTTCTGATCTTAGAACTTCAGAACTGAAAGAGACCCTATGAATCATCAAGGCCCACCTCTGTCAAGGCACAGTGGGGAATCAAATCTCTAACCTGTAGGCAACCAGATACTTAAACCACTGAAATCTCCAGCAAGCTAGATAGATTCTTATATTTCAGTCACACAGAGGCATGAAACTATATAGATATGCAGCTATATGTTTGACAATTGCAAACACACCACAAAAAAACAACAAATGTTACAGTCAGCAAAGGACAGAAGGGACCCCCCACCACCACTGCAGGAGTATACCGGATACCTTGCAGCTGTGGCCAGGTTTAAATTGGAACTACAAAACGAAGCATCCACACCAGAATC